GGATGATACACTTTAATCATTTCAGTTAAAATTGACCATTTTTCTCTGCCGGCTGCAGTAGCACCAGGAAATCTCTTTGTTTAAAGTGTCATTGTGAAGCTTGGGGGATTACCCTTTTAAAAAATAGGGATGTCATTCTAGATGACATGCCTCCAGACCAATAAAAAAAAAAATCTAGTTTTTAAAGCAGCACCATTTTTTGACAGGTGATAAATTGCCAAATTTCTACAAACCAAATATCCTTTTGAAGCTTTTCAGATGAAAAATGTGAAAATAATACGTCAATATTGAAAAATTCCTCATTCAGACATTTTTCATCACATCCCTCTAATTAATGCTTTTATTTTGTTAACAGTGTTATTTTGTTTTAAGTAGAACAAAAACTAATTTTCACTGTGTGAAACTAAGTTTTTGCAACAGCATATTTGGCAGCTAATTGATATTTTGTTTGTCCAGTGAAGCAGTTAAAAATAATCTCATCCAGATTCATTGAACAAGGATTAGAGTCAGATTATGGTCACAGTCAAAACAGCAGCACAGAGCAGCTGTTTGCTTTCACTCTGTGGATCAATATTTCATTAAAACCTGCAGCTTCGTTCAGTGTTTCATTGTCACGGACTGAAACCTGGAGTCCCATCGGAGCCACATTTAATCTGATAACCTCAGTAAAAAGATGGAACTGCGATGCAGGTGAATCTGTCGTCCTCTGATCTGATGAAAGATTGATGCAGAAGCTGATTCAGACGAGGGGTGATGATTTATTCATCATGATGACATTTAATTAAGAATGTCCTGCAGGTTGTGGTGCAGCGTTCTGAGAATCATCTGTAAATCTCAATCACTGCTCAAATAAAACAACAGTGATTTTTTTTTTAAATTATGCTTGTTCGAATGCAAATTATCTATGAAGGTTGAGATTGAAACAAAAAAATATGCGATTGTTGCAATATTTAGGAGCTGCACACATGGTTGTTATTATTCACTGAAAATTATTTAAATAGCTTTGAACAGTTTCATTAGAGGAGACTTTCATTTAATAATTAAAAAGCCAGTTTAGTTTTTTTCTAAAGATTTATATTTTACCTTAAAACTGAAAATTAGGAATAATTTAGTTTCTTTGCAGAGCTCTGCAACTTTCAACAGCTTCATAAACAAATCACATTACTACTGATTCTGTAAAAACTACAAGATACACTGCCCAGGCAAAAAAAAAAAGTCTCCACCTGGATTCAACTCAGGTCTATAACTTCGGGTTGTTGCAGTTGGTCAGGTCTAGGTTCAGCAACAGTCTGTGCTCAAAGAATGAGATCAGCTGACTACCTGAATATACTGAAAGACCAGGTTATTCCAGCAATGATTGTTTCTTCCCTGATGACACAGGCCAGGATTCATCAGACTGGAATTGTGAAAGAGTGGTTCAGGGAGCATGAGACATCATTTTCACCCCACAGAGTCCAGACCTTGACCCCAATGACAATCTTTGGGATGGGCTGGATAGGGTTGGGCATAATCGTATCGTGTGCAATTAATCGTCAGAAAAACATTAATCGATTACTTTTTGGCACTTGACAATTAATACAATTAATGCCACCAGACAAAGTCCGCCTGGTAGCGGACTCTGTCATTTTATTTTTTAATGACAAACATTTTTTTAAAAAGTTCAGTAAATAATTTATC